TCCACAACCTCTCCAGCATTTATTATTTTGTGTTTTTTGGATTAATGCTAGCCTTGTTGGGGTAAGAAGATATCTCATTGTAGTTTTGATCTGCATTTTTTTAATGGCTAATGATCGTGAACATTTCTTTGTGTGTCTGTTAGCCGCCTGAATATCTTCTTTGGCGAAGTGTCTGTTCATATCCTTTGCCCATTTTTTAATTGGGTTGTTTGTGTTTTTGTTGTTGAGGTTTTGCAGTATCTTGTAGATTTTAGAGATTAGACACTGATTGGATTTGTTGTAGCCAAAATTTTTTTCCCAGTTTTCTTTTTACACTTTAGTGAAGTCTTTTGATGAGCATAAGTGTTTGATTTTTAGGAGCTCCCAGTTATCTAGTCTCTCTTCTGGTGCTTGTGCATTGTTATTTAGGGTTCGTATTATGTTTATACCATGTATTAGGGCTCCTAGCGTTGTCCCTATTTTTTCTTCCATGATCTTTATCGTTTTTGGTTTTATATTTAAGTCTTTGATCGATTTTGAGTTAGTTTTTGTGCATGGTATGAAACATAGGTCTTTAGTTTTTTGCAGATGGATATCCAGTTATGCCAGCACCATTTGTTAAAGAGACTGTCTTTTCCCCACTTAACGGACTTTGGGCCTTTGTCAAATATCAGCTGCTTATAGGTGGGTGAATTTATATCTGGATTCTCAATTCTGTTCCATTGGTTTATGTATCTGTTGTTGAACCAGTACCAGGCTGTTTTGACTACCGTGGCGGTATAATGGGTTCTAAAATTAGGTAGTGTGAGGCCTCCCACTTTGTTCTTCTTCTTGAGTAATGCTTTACTTATTCAGGGCCTCTTCCCTTTCCATGTGAAGTTGGTGATTTGTTTCTCCATCTCATTAAAAAATGCCGGTGGATTTTGGATTGGGATTGCATTGTATCTGTAGATCGCTTTGGGTAGAACTGACATTTTCACAATGTTGAATCTGCCTATCCATGAGCAAGATATGTTTTTGCACTTCTGCAGGTCTTTTTTGGTTTCTTGCAGTAGTGTCTTGTAATTTTCATTGTATGGGTCTTTTACATCTCTGGTTAGGTTTATTCCTAAGTGTTTTATCTTCTTGGGGGCTATTGTAAATGGTATTGACTTGGTGATTTCCCCTTCGATGTTCTCTTTGCTGGTGTAAAGGAATCCAACTGATTATTGTATGTTTATCTTGTATCCTGAAACTTTGCTGAAATCTTCTATTAGTTCCAATAGTTTTCTTGTGGATTCTTTGGGGTTTTCTGTGTATAAGATCATATCATCTGCAAATAGAGATGCTTTTACTTCTTCCCTACCAATTTGGATGCCCTTGATTTCTTTTTCTAGCCTAATTGCTCTGGCTAGGACCTCCAGCACAATGTTGAATAAGAGTGGTGATAAAGGGCATCCTTGTCTGGTTCCCGTTCTCAAGGGGAATGCTTTCAAAGTCTCTCCATTTAGGATGATGTTGGCTGTTGGCTTTGTATAAATGTCCTTAATTATATTGAGGATTTTCCCTTCTATCCTATTTTGTTGAGAGTTTTTAATCATGATCCATTTGCCATTTATCTTTTGACCTTGCTTATGATTTTAGGGGGGTATATAAAATGATTTATTTTTTACGTAGTCCAATTTATCAGCCTGAATTTTAAGTTATCAGCTTGGAAACAGAAAAAGAAAGTCCTTTATGTATTGCAAATGTCTTTTCATGGTTTTTGGTTTACCTTTCCAGTGTTTTTTATCTTTCAGCCTCTTAGTTTAATGGTGTCTTTTGCTAAGCAGTTTCTAATATTAATGTACTAAAACTTACCAGTATTTTTCTCTATGATCAGTCTAAGAAAACATACTTTACCTTGAAGTCATGAAGATATTTTCCTATATCAGCTTCAACAGTCCAAGAATTGTTTATTATTGATGTATGACAAGATAAGGCCTGAAATTGAAAATAAGTGTTAGACCCTCTTATAGCAATTTGATGTTGTATAACATCCAAGCACATGATTTGTATTTTACAGAATTATCAGTCTGCAGTTGTTTTTTGGTAGGAAAAACCTGGTCTCTTACCATAGGTAATTTGAATAGTACTGATTCAAAGCAGTGCTTCTCAGACTATGGTCGAAGTACCCATGCTAGCTCATGAACTGTTTAGTACTGGTCTTTGATGATGTAAGTGTAGAAATTGAGAATAAACATTTAGAAACTTTTATATGACTGTGTGATTGCCATGGTGTGAGTCAAGTGTGTGAGTCACAGGCAGCATGAGCTGCAGAGTGGTCACGTGCATTAGGACTGTGCCTGGATCCTTGAAAGTAGATATTTAAAAAAATGGCTATTTACCACACGTAGGGTGAGACGTACTCTTTGAGAAGGTTTATTGTTTTGCTTTGCACGTTTAAGTCTATAATCTCCCTGAACTTTTTTTTTTAAATAAGTTACAGTTAAGAAAATTTTTTTATTGTGGTAAAATATATATAACAAAATAGTTCCCATTTCAACAACTTTGAAATGTACAATTCAGTGCCTTTAATTACGTTCACTATGTTGTACAGTTGTCACCACTATCTGTTTCCAAATTTTTTCATCACCCTTGACGTTTCTGAACTGTTTTTTGTGAAGAGTGTCATGTAGGTGTCTAATTTGATTTTTTTCTCCATGTATCTCCTTTTTTCTCAGAACTATTTGTTGAAAAGGCTTTCCTTCCCTCACTGGTCTGGAGTGCTCCATTTGTCATGAATCAAGTGTCTGTCCAGGGGCTTTTTCTGGTCTCTGCAGCCTGTTTAATGATTTTTTTTGTCTTTGCACAGTATCACACTGTAAATTCTATATCTTTAAAATAAGTCTTGATAATCTGGAAAAGGCGGTTCCGCAGCCTTTTTCTTCTTTAGAAGTGTCTTAATTATTTCAGTCCTTTTCATTTCCTTAGAAATTTTAGAATCGTGTCAGTTCACACACACACACACACACACACACACAGAGTCCGTTCAGATTTTGATTGGTATTGCATTTAATCTGTAAGTCTATTTAGTCTTTCAGTTTGTGGATATAGTGTGTGTGTGTGTGTGTGTGTGTGTGTGTGTGTCCAGCATAGAGATCTTGCACACCCTTTGTTATATTTATTCCTAATCATCAGCTTACCCAGGTATTTGTTTTTAATAGTTCACTGAGATGTATTTTTAAGTTTGTACACATTGCTAAACCTATGGTATACTTGGTAATAATAAAGATTTACAATGATACAATAAGTCAAAATGTATTAAATTTATAGGATCAAATAAAATAACGTGCTGATATTTGTGCAGAGATACTAGACAATTATGTTGTCTAATTGCCTATTACTACTGTCAAAGAAGCTGCTACATTTTTGTAACTTGAGCTTGTATTAGGCCACCTTCTAATTTTTTTTCCTTGTAATATTTCAGTTTAGATTTTTAGTTTCTTTTTAAGAGAATGATCAAACAGTCAGGAAGATGATGATTATTATTATTCTGTTCTTTTCTGACATGAACTACCAGTACGTTGTTGAATAGAAGCAGTGATAGGCGCCATGTTTTTTTTCCCTGGCCTTAGGAACAATGTTTGTTATGTCTCATCCATTAAGTGATGTTTGTTATAGTTTTCTGGTAGATAAACATTCTCAAGTTCTAGGATTCTTCTTTTATCTCTAGTTTGTTACTAGTTTTTCCGTCAACCTCCAAAGAACTTGTGTTTAATGCCACCAAGCTTTTTGTTTTAAACAAGACATTGGCAAACCATGGACTGTGGGCTAAATACGGCCCATTGCATTTTTTTTTTATGACCCATGAGTTAAGAATGGTTTTTACATTCTTTAAAGGTTGGAAAAGAAATATTTTGTGACACATGAAAATTATATGAAATTCAAATTTCAGTGACCATAAATAAAGTTTTATTGGAACCTAGTCATACTCATTCGTTTGTGTATTGTCTATGACTGCGTTCATACTGCAATGGCAGAGTTGAGTCTTTGCGACAGAGACCGCAAAGCCTAAAACGTTTACCATCTGGACTCTTTACAGAAAAGGTTAGATGACTTTGCTTTAGACCATCATGCTGATCACATGTTTATTTTCTTTTACCCTACTAATGTAGGAGGTAGGATGCTTTCAGCGACAGTGTTATGGATTGAATTCCGTCCCCCAGATATGTGTGTCAACTTGGCTAGGCCAGGATTCCCAGTATTGTGTGGTTGTCCTCCATTTTGTGATCTGATATAATCATCCAGTGTGTTGTAAATCCTAACCTCTATGATATTAATGAGGCAGGATTAGAAGCAGTTATGTTAATGGGGCAGGACACAATCTACAGGATTAGTTGTATCTTGAGTCAGTCTCTTTTAAGATATAAAAGAGAGAATCAAGCAGAGAGGAGAGGGACCTCATTACCACCAAACAGGAAGAGCCAGGAGTGAAGCTAGTCCTTTGGACCCAGGTTCCCTGTGCTGAGATGCTCCTAGACAGGGGAAGATTGATGACAAGGACCTTCTGCCAGAGCCTGCAGAAGGAGAAAGCCTTCTGTAGCTAGCACCCAGAATTTGGACTTCTAGCCTCCTAGACTGTGAGAGAATAAATTTCTGTTTGTTAAAGCCATCCACTTGTGATATTTCTATTAGAGCAACACTAGATAACTAAGACAGTAACAGAAATTCTGACCCAAACTTGTTTAAAGAATAAGAACATTTATTATTACATATAGGCAAGCTCCAGGCATGTGTGATCATTCTTCATGTCTGAGTCTCTTGGCTTTGTATCCTGTATTGGTTTTCTGTGTCCTTAAATGGTCTCCCTGCATAGACATATTCCTTTAAACTAGATTTTCTTAGTCCCTAAACCAAAACTTCTTAGCAATACAAGTGGGGTTATTTACAGAGATTGGTTCCTAGTTATTTTCTGTATTTATCCTTTAGCAGATATAGTTTAAGAACATGGTAATCTGATTTTTAATCACGTCATCAGGTGGGTGGACGTTATTGGAATCATATGCAATGGTCATGTCCCAGGCATCAATGACACCCACATTCAAATCTTTGAAAATGCCATTCATGGTAAGATACTGAATGTAGCCATGGAAGTCTCCAAGCGTCTCTGTGTTTGCATGCATGTCCCTGGTGTTTTCTGTCTTAAGGATCACTTTAGTGGCTGGGCTTCTTAGGAAAAGTCGTTCAATAGCCTTTTGGACACTGATGGCCCTACGGATGAAGATGTCAATCGGGAAGGGTCTGAAGTGCTGGCCGATGGTGATGACAATGACTGTGTTTTTGTCCCCTGGTATCCGGTCAATTTCCATAGGGATATAACCCTCATCTATCACAGAGTAGAGCTGAAGAGTCACAAAAGGAAAGCTATGTTTCTTCCACTGAATCAGAAGGTTGTTTTCTGCATCCAGAAGCAAATGTTTCTTAAACACTCCAGTTCCATGAAGATCAAAAAATTTTAATGCTGATGAAAAATAAATAGATCTTTTAACTATAAGGCAATCATTATTTTTTTAAAAGTCATATTCTGTCATTTAAAATACTTACCCACCTAGATTATTTCTGACTGGAAAATTCCTGCCATCTAGGGTAGATCACCAGCTTATATGTGTTAAATGTTAATAAAAATTGTAAAATTTTCATTTGGAATTTATAAAGAACATTTCATATGAGAAGAAATAAATATATATTTTAAATTAAAAGTCTCAAATCCAGGAAATTAAATGAAGTCGAAAACAAAATAAGTAGCCAGAAAGAGAGACCTCATTAAACATACTTTAAACTGAATTTTGAAAATTATATAAAATGGTAACTACGTACTTTTTACAACTTTGGGTAGGTAGTGGATCCACTGCCGCAGTGTAGAGTCTCCCAGAAGGTAAATGAGTTTTCCTTTCAAACAGCCATTTATCTCCTTTGTATTTAACTGAATCTGGTTGCAAAATGTTGTAATCCACCGTCTTTCTAAAGTATAACCACTAGGAACAGGAATCTTCATTCCAATTTGGCATTTATCTTTTATCTTTTCACTCTCTGATAACAGAAACATGGTAAGTGATTCTACTGACATAAGTTACTTGGGAACATCCAGCCTCCTTCTTTCTTTTTCCTTCCCTTTCTTGATTTCTTTCTTTCTTTGTTTCTTCCTCTAACCTCCTGTTCCCTACTTCATTCCTAAGACTATTCTTTGATCACCAGCTTTGTCTTAGGCACGTCTACTCATTCTTTGGAGAAATTTTGAATCATCTTGACTCCTCCCTGTTCCTTTTCTCCTACATCCAATCATTAGCTAAGTCTTGATGCTATATCATTTCTTTGCCATTTCTACTGATTCTGTGCTAACTTAGGCCATAGTGTCTAACCTGAATGATGTTAATGGTCTGCATCAAATTGTTTACTTTTGTTCCATTAATGAAGGAATAACTTCTTTTTTCTTTTTTTAAATAGCTTAAAATATAGTAATATGTGTACGTTTTAAAACTTCAAATGGTATAAAATATCTAGCTTGAATTATTATTATTTTAATAGGACTTTGCTAAAAGTGACATGATGCAGGCAGTCCAAACCAATAATCGGAGATTTTTCAGCAAGTTCCACTAGAATTATAGACTTCATTGGCACATGGTCTGACTTCTAAGATACCACAAGTAACAAATGTTTTGCTGTGGCATAACAAGGATTATCAGACTTCTCACCTGTCATAAGTGTTTTCTTCCTACTATACTACCACTCCACTATTGAGCCAACATTTTGTATTTTAGGTTTTGTTACAACAGCACTCCTATACTGATACCACCTTCTGTATTAGATAGGAAATAAATTTGAATTGCTGTAAGAAAGGTTAAAATAATAATGACTTTAAAAAGATATACATTTATTTCTCCCTTGCATAACAGTCCTAGAGTGAGCAAGCCAGGGCTGTTATGATGTCGCATGGTATCAAGAACTCCAGTCTTTTCTATCTTGTTGCTCTGTCATTCTCTACATATGGCTTCAATCTCATAGTCTAACATTGCTCTTTCATCTGCCACCATTATGTCTACATTTTAGCTAGTAGGAAAGAGAAAAGGAAGGGGAGGGACAGTTATTTTAAGGCATGACCTAGAAGTCTCTCATGCCACTTCCACTCACATGCCTGTAAAAAAATTTGTCATGGCCACAGCTAGCTGGAAGGAAGACTGTGGCCTTTAGCTGCATGGCCATGGGTCCAGCTGAAAATTAGGGCACTCTGTTACTAAGGAGACGGAGCTCTGGTGGTGTAGTGGTCAAAGCACCCAACTGCTAACCAAAAGTTCCAAGGTTCAAACCCACCAGCCACTTTGTGGGAGAAAAGACTAGGGGATCTGTGAAGATTACAGCCTTGGAAACCCTATGGGGCAGTTCTACTCTGACCTATAGGGTTGCTTTGAGTCAAAATTCGACTTGACGGCAATGGGTTTGGTTTTTGGTTTTATTACTAAGGAGAGAGGATGGAATGGCTATTGGGGAACCACCAGAAGTCTTCGCTTCACCATGCTTAGCCTTTCATAGACCATGAAGGCTTTGATTGCCTATGTCCATAGGATAGTCATTATTACATAGTTGTACCGTGTTTGCACAGGTGTGATACCTACTCTTAATTATATAGTCTGTGAGCAAAGTGGCAAAATGGTGCTGGAGGCAGAATTGGAAAAATCACCTGGTATCTAGTCATTAAGTCCTGGTGATGTGGCTTGCTGAAGGGAGTTTTCATAATGCTGTAAGTTAGTTTTTTTGAATTTTAGTGTGACACGGTTGGGATTCTATGAGGTTTAGTAGTATTGTAGCCTGGATGGTTGAATATCATAACCCTGGACACTTGAGAGCCATGTTTATAAAATATCCCCCATCATACTTTGGTGAGAAAATAGCATCTGAGCTTGTTATGGTAAGCCATACCTTGTATACTATTTGTATGCCAGGGTATTCATTTTGCAAAGTGTCAAACTAAGTGCTCTGTAGGAATATTTCAATTATATAACAAATTCTGTTATTTTTGTATATTTATTTTACATAAGAATTTTAGAATAAGCTTGAGTATTTTTAACAGTATGTGGGTAATGATGTTAGAATTCTGTTATATTTGTTGAGATTGAGTTTAGAGATTGTGGTAGGCAGACTAATGGCCCTCCAAAGATGTCTATATCCTAATCCTCAGAACTTGTGTAACATATACATAGGTTTCCGTAGCAAAGAGACTTTCTTGATGTGATTGAGGATGTGGACTTTCGGCTTATGAAATTATCCTGGATTATCTGTGTTTGTCCAATCTAATCACATGAGTCCTTAAAAGTGGAAGAAAGAAGCGGAAGAATGGGTCAGAGAGATGTGACATGAGGACTTGACCAGCTTTTGTTGGCTCTTGAAGATGGAGGAAGGGATTATGGGATATATGGGCAGCCTCCAGAAACTGGAAAAAGCAAGAAAATGGATTCTCCCCTACAGCCCTCAGGAAGGAATCCAGCCATGCTGATACCTTGATTTTTAGTTCAATGAGACCTATATTGGACTTCTCAACTGTAGAAGTAAATTTTTGTTGTTTTAAGCAACCAAGCTTATGGTAATTTGTTATAGTAGCAACAGGAAACTAATACAGAGATAATTGACATCTTTTTAATATCAAGTCGCCCTATCTAGAAACTGCATTTTTTCTATTTATTTAGATTTGATACCCCTTAGTAATATTTTAAATTGTCTTTCTATAGCTCGTGCACATTTTGTTAAATCATGAATTAACATTTTAAAGCACAAAGTGGATCATATCACTCTGTCCCTCAGTTGGTTTCTGTGGCTTTTAAAAGCCTACTGGCTCCTCAGCATGGCCCTTGAGAATCTCCATGATTTAGTTTCTTCCTCCCTTTCAAGCCTCATCCTTTGCTCCATTCCACCATGTATCACTCCCATCGATGAGCAAAGTTCATGGTAATTCCGCTCATGACTAGGGGTCAAATAAAAATACAGAATGCCCAATTAAATGTACATTATTTCTAAAAAGGAATAATTTTTTATGCTCTGTGCAGTATTTTTTCCTTTACTTCAAAGTATATACGCATAAACAAAAAACAAAACAAAACCCCATTGCTATTGAGTTGATTTCAAGTCATGGCGACCCCACGTGTTACAGGGTAGAACTGTTCCATAGGGTTTTCTTGGCTGTAATCTTTTTTTTCCCCTAATTTACTGTGCTTAAGATGAAAGTTTACAGCACAAATTAATTTCTCACTCGAAAATCTATACACAAATTGTTTTGTGACATTGGTTGCAAACCCTGCAGTGTCTCAGCACTCCTTTCCCTCTCCACTCCGGGTTCCCCATGTTCATTTGTCCAAGTTTCCTATCCTTTCCTGCCTTTTTGTCTTTGCTTTTGGGGAGGTGTTGCCCATTTGGTCTTATATACTTGATTGAACTAAGAATTACATTTGTCATGTGTGTTATTGTTTGGAGGCCTGTCTAATCTTTGGCTGAAAGGTGGACTTCGAGAGTGGCTTCAGTTCTGAGTTAGCAGGGTGTTCAGGGGCCATAGTGTTGGGGGGTTCCACCAGTCTCTGTCAGACCAGGAAGTCTGGTCTTTTTTTGTGAATTTCAATTTTGTTCTACATTTTTCTCCCACTCCATCTGGGACCCTGTATTGTGATCCCTGTCAGAGCAGTCAGGTTGTAGCCGAGCACGTTCTAGTTCTTCTGGACTCAGGCTGGTAGAGGCTGTGATTCATGTGGTCACTTAGCCCTTTGGACTAATATTTTCCTTGTGTCGTTGGTTTTCTTCATTCTCCTTTGCCTTGGACAGGATGAGACCAATAGATTTATCTTAGATGGCCGCTCACAACCTTTTAAGACCTCGATGCTGCTCACCAAAGTAGGATGTAGAACGTTTTCTTTATGAACTATGTTATGCCAGTTGACATAAATGTCCCCCGAGACCATGGTCCCCAGCCCTTGGCCGAAGTCCCTCAGTCCCTCAAGGTGTTTGTATGTGTCTAGGAAGCTTCTATGACTTTGCCTTGGTTTTTCAAGTTGTACTGACTTCCCCTGTATTTTGTGTTGTCTTTCCCTTCACCAAAGTTACCACTTAAATACTATCTAGTGATTTCCCCTCCCCCTCCCTTGTAACCATCAAAGATTGTTTTTTTCTATGTGTAAACCTTTTCATGAGTTTTTATAATAGTGCTATCATACAGTATTTGTTCTTTTGTGATTGACTTATTTCACTCAGCATAATGCCCGCCAGAATCATCCATGTTGTGAGATGTTTTAGAGATTCATCATTCTTTATCGTTGCCTGGTATTCCATTGTGTGTATGTTCCATGATTTATTTATCCATTCATCTGTTGATGGGCACTTAGGTTGTTTCCATCTTTTTGCTATTGTGAATAATGCTGCAATGAACATGGGTATGCATATGTCTGTTCGTGTGACGGCTCTTATTTCCCTAGGACATATTCCTAGGAGTGAGATTGCTGGATCCTATAATATTTCTATTTCTAGCTTTTTAAAGGAGGCACCATATCATTTTCCATAGTGGTTGCAGCATTTTACGTTCCCACCAGCAGTGCATAAGAGTTCCAATCTCACTGTAACCTCTTCAGCATTTGTTACTTGCTGTTTTTTTGATTCATGCCAGTAATGTTGGGATGAGATGGTATCTCATTGTGGTTTTGATTTGCATTTATCTAATGACCAATGATAGTGAACATTTCCTAATGTGTCTGTTAGCTACTTGAATATCCTCTTTGGTGAAGTGTCTGTTCATATCCTTTGCCCATTTTTAATTTGGATTATTTGTCTTTTTGCTGTTGAGGTGTTGAAGTCTATTTATAGACTTTAGAGATTAGACCCTTGTCAGATATGTTGTAGCCAAATTTTTTTTCCCCAGTCTATAGGTTTTCTTTTTACTCTTTTGGTGAAGTCTTTTGATGAGCATAAGTGTTTAATTTTTAGGAGCTCCCTGTTATCTAGTTTATCTTCTCGTGTTTGTGCATTGTTAGTTATGGTTTGTATTGCGTTTATGCCATG